TGGTTTTCTGTACAATATGGACCAGGAAGCCTACATTTATGTCTTTTAAAAATATTTGTCTCAGGTATAAAGAGCATTTGCCTCCAGTGGTTATACATTGTTCACGGGTAAAGCCGCAGAAGCTGAAACATATATCAAAATGGGCTGCTACATTGGATTAACTGGTTAGCATTTTTCAATTGTTAAGAAATAATGAAGAAAAGCGACTATTTCATCAGTTCGTGACAGCAGATGGGAAATAGAAAAGGCTTGTTGAGGAGAAGTACAGGAAAGCAATGGAAGATTGATGTGATTGTACCTTCATTATCGGAATTAGTACACCATTGGTAATTTGTTAGAGTTGGCAATAAAATCATCACTATACACAATTCGTTTGAAGTTGAACAGTTACTTTACTAATAGGACTCAAAAAATAAACAAGTTTTTGGCACTTTGAATTCATTTTTCTTTTTCACAAAATGTCCCTTATGTCATTGTCCTTAATGTATTTCGATCGACGAAGTCAAATGTCTTTTAAAATGGCCGTATGAAATCTGCCAAAATTCCTAGCGTGTGTTTCTTAAAACTAGTTTCTGTTACAGGTTTTTTGTGGAAGGATCGGAGCGATGATGGGATAAAGTATGCATTGCGTAATTGTAAAATACCGCTAGAGAGGGTCGTTTTGGAAACCGATGCACCTTTCATGTATTCCAAAATTGATGATAAGAAAATCCCAGCTGAAATTCGTAGTCGTATCACGGATGAAGCAAGAAGTTTTCATAAGTTTACATCATTCAACAGAAATGAACCATGTGCTTTAGCAGCTATTTGTGAGCTCATTGCTGCTTATATGAATGAAGATCCGATGAAGGTAGCCGATGTTACCACAGCAAATGCTAAACATATTTATGGTCTGGAATAAAGAATATTTCCTATTTTGTTGCAATACAGTGTGAAAATACAAGTTACAATGTGAAAAAAAGAACTTGTTGCGTTCTGTCGTGAATAGTTCCATGTGCAATTGAGATATGCCATTTACTTCTCTGCTAATATTTATTAGATAGGAAATTTGAAATTAAATGTCCAAATGATAATTTCAAAGTTGTTTAATTTGAAAGACTGGAGAAATACTACTAGCAAAGTTAAATTTGAGGTGGAGAACAGAGGACTGAATGAATACTGCTAAACTATGGATATCAGCGTTTCTTATAAGCATCACTTGTTTGAATCTATAAGAAAAATACACTAATGGCTGATTAACTTGAAGAAGTTCAAAATTGTGGAAATTCCTAGATGTAATTTAACGATAACTACCATCCGCGCATATATTTTAATAAAATACTCTTATGGATACAGTAATGGTTGACAATGCTTTGTCGAATGGTGCATTATGTCAATGAACCCATGGAAAGAAACGATCACCGTAATACCAATAGTAGCAGATTTTGTCATACAATTAACTTGTTAAAAAGGCTAGCAATGATTTGTATGCCTTATTATTGATTGAATAATAGTAAACCTTTCAGAATTATAACATTTGCATAAATCCTAACAAAAATCATAAAGTGAAAATTTCGGATTAAATTCTTTTTCACGAATGCAAAAAAATTAATAGCTTCATTAATATATTATAAAATGATATGAAGTACGGAGTTGTATCACTTACGGATAGGAGGAGCATTGGAGAAAAGGAATTCTTGTTCTTTATAATTATTTATTTGTATGCTTGTGCTCTGCTGTGACAATTAATATTATCACATTTGTCATCTGTTGTCCACTAATAATATCGTATGTGAAAGTCATTTTGTTCATTTTATCATACTATTGTTATAAATTATTTGAATTTTACTAATAACAAAATATAATCTTTGAATTTTGTTGAAAACATTTGCATTATATTATCTCCAAATATGTTTGTGTTATTTCGCTCAAAATGTAATAAATAAAACTATCATTTATGTAACAAAACTATCTAATAATTTCTATTAATTAATATTAATTGATATTTAATAAATGGAATTAATGTTAAAATTTAAAATTTAATATTATTCCTTTTTTATTTTTCATATGCATTTTTTAACAGTTGTATTTTTGAAATTACATTTTAAATTTATATTTTCTCAACTTTTTTCTTTTTAAAATTTACATATAATATCTTTAAAACCATATATTTTGGAAAACTAATTTAATTATTGCTAATTTTCAAGTGTTATATATTGTACTTTTTTTACGTCACTTTAATTATTGATACTTAATGATATGTGGTGAATACTTTTGCTTCATTAATTGCGTAGTTAAAGTGCATTAATTACTTCATCATATGGTGTATCTATTAATCAAACATTTCATTCCAGTTTCATTCGAAATGTTCTCTTGATCAAATTGAAGAACTTCCTGGTCAGAATACCAAATAGTGATGACAAATTAGTGACATGAAGTTTAAAAAGGAACGATGAAATGAGGAAATCATTGAAATATCATTTCAGGAAAAATTTTTTTGAAAGAATTTTATGCGAAATTTCCTTTCTTCTCGTACTTCATACTATTGCTGTATTTCTTCCATTTATAAATTGCGTGTTTTGCGATAAAATTTATTTCAAAAAAGAGAAGGTAAAAGTAGTTTAATTATCATAGGAAGAGAAAAATTTCAATTCTCTCATTTACAATTCATTTCTGATTATTCAATTAATTGTTTGATTCAAGTATAAATTGAAATTTTATTGCATTAACTGACAAATTTTGATTTAAGAAAGAAGAAAATTTTCTTTTAAAAGTTTATTTGTTGAGAATTACAGAATTTTATTCAATTATACCGCCTAAATACACATCAATACCGCTTACTTCCATTCGAACTGCTCTCGAAATGTCCAATAAGTTGAGTATATTGTTATATTATTATTATATTATTATTATTAAATATTGTTATATTATTATCACTTAATTTAAGTTTTCGATTAAATAATTACTATTGCTTAATTATCTAATTACAGACCCGATATTATATAGGATGATCGGATAGCACGCAATATTTCATTTAGACTTGAATGGTATTAAATGTCTGAGAGATTGAGGAAGAAATAAATTATCCCAATGATAAGTTTGCTAATGGTAGATGATTTAAATTACTGATACAGTCTTAATTAATAAGCAAACTAAATTGCTACCTTTCTAGTAAAAGGGTAGATAAGCGACTTTTGATTAGATTTCTTTAAGATTAAAGATCAAAAGTAAAATCATTTCATTTCATAAAACTATCCGTAATTTAGTTTCATTATCAATATTAGATCAGATAATCCAATCAAAAAAATATCCTTCGTTGATTAGATAATTTTTAAAATTAAAGGTCAAAGAAGGTCAAGGAAAACTTAATCGATTCCTTACTAATCTTATGTATTCTGTCTACCTCTTTTCGTCCCTATTTGTCGATATGACAATATATTGATGTGCACGGAGAAGCGAAAGGTGAGGTAAAAGGGATAATCCAAGTGACCGTCAGAATATGATCACATTAGGATCCCAAGTATGTGGTATTCTGTGGAAAGCACACACACACACACGCACACACATACACACACAACATACACACACACACACACACATACACACACACACATACACACACATAGACAGACAGGCACACACACATACATACATATGGAGTGAATAAATGTCGCACACTCAACCTCATAATCAGCATTTCATTATTTTCGTACCCTCAGTGTCCTCAACAAGGTTAGAGGAGACCTATGGCTTTTGTTGCTTGTTTTAATTCTTTTAATGTGTACTCATATTTCTATAGCTCTGATATAATGTTAGTTTAATTTCAATTAAAATTTATGTTTAGAAATTGAAAAAAAAACGAAATTCGACAAATTAACTCTTTAATTCTGTTGTCAGAAAAATTCAATTTTTGGTTTTTGATTTATATTATATGACAATATTATGGCATCGTTTAAATAATTGGTTAATAGTATTGGTATTAATTTAAATTTAAACCTGATTTTTGGAGCTAAGCTTGAACTGATATTAAATTTGAACTGAACTTGAAGTAGCATTTAAATCTGAATTCGAACTTAAACGGATCCGAATTTCGAGCAGAATTTGAGCTTGATCTGAATTTCGAACAGAATTTGGGCTTTTGAGCTGATCTGAATTCAAATCTGAATTTCGGACAGAATTTAGGCTTGAATTATTAATTGAAGTTGAGCCTTGGGACACAAAAATTCTACCATTTTTTTTCTTGAATTTGATATTTTTTTATTGACTTTTGTTTGTTTGTTTATTTATTTGTTTACTTATTTATTGCTTTGTTTGTTTATCGATGAATTCACCACTGTATTTCATTTGTTACACTTTTCTTTTTTTCACTCTTCATTTTGCTAATTATTAGACGATCGTAAGATGAAGAAATAAATGAATAATGTAAGAGATGAAAATGGATAAAACTGAAATATTCCAAAATAAAGCAAGTCTTTAATTATTTCTCTTATTTATTTTTCTTTTCGAAAAATGCAAGTCATCCGGAAATGATTTCCGGAAAATTGTTGTCATCATTTTTGGTTATAATTAAATCAAAATTTAATCATTCTTATGCGTCATTATTTGAAAAACTTTTGGAAAATGATTACTTTTCCACAACAATGCACTCATTTTATGCTTGCATATATTTTCATTTCCATTATTTCATTCCAATATTCAATTTGCATTTTAGCTAATTAAATGATAAAATTTTACGTTTAAAATTTGAATAATATATATTATAAATATGGCATTTTTTCGTTTTTCGAAACTTTTAAAATCTTTGAAATAATTCAATAATTTGCATAAATATTGATCGATCTTTTCAACCAGTTAATATATAGCAATAAGTATGGCGGTGATTTTACATTTCATCTGGAAAATCTAATAATTTTGAAATTGAATTAAAATGAATTAATTATCTGATCAGTAGGAATTATGGATGAAATCTGGTCAATTTGTTACAATCATTTCACGATTGAATATGTGGCCAAACTCGATCTATTTCTCATAAGTAGCTTGCAGCTTAGGGCCTCAAGCTTTATAAAAAGCCTTATAGGCTTTATTGTTCCTTCATGATTCCTATCTTTGTTATATATTTATAATGAAATCATAGGAGATGTGAATATTCTATGAATATTTTCGGAATTCTTATCATTTCAATATTAACTTCAAGCCATTAGGCCATTAACTTAAGCCATTAATATATTGGCTAAGCTTCTCACATCTTTAGTCTTTAAGTATGAGAACTTTTCTTCATCTTTCTTTTTTTAATTTCAATTTTTCAAATAGTTTCATTAATTTCAAAAACCGCTTCCTATTTTAATGGCCATCAATAGTGATGGCTCAATCAATATCCCAAAAATACTTTTAAAAAGTACTTATTTTGTCAACTTCAAATATGGCAAATGTCGTAGAGGAAACAATTGTCAACTAATGCGCTGCGCATTTTCAAATTTATCAGGAAAATGTATTATTTCATATCGATTTTTCCGGATGTAGTGCCTTTTTCAACCGGAACCGAGGAGAAATCGATAATAAACGTTCCAATTGGAAATAAAAATGAAAAAGAAAGGTGCATTTAATACAGGAGGAATGGGGAAGAAGGAAGAAGCGCGATAACGGAAGCAATCCAGCATCATTTATTTTTTCCGTTCGCGAAATTCTCTGTTTCGATTACCAAAATTAGTTCCTTGTGGAGGTTGGGGGGATCGAACCCCCGCCCTCTCGCATGCAAAGCGAGCGCTCTACCACTGAGCTAAACCCCCATCGATGATATCCGTTCATGTTATTCGTTTAGAAATAATTTTTACTTGTCATAATATATGATTATTATAAATTGTCATTAATGAAAATATCACTATTTCCCTTTCTCTTTCTCTTTCTCTCTCCCTCTTTCTCCCTCTTCTTCACCTTCTTTTTCATAGGCTACTGTAATCGGAATATCTCATATATCATTAATTACAACAGATTTATCACTTCTAACAATAATTTATTATGACTAGCTACAATATTAATCTTATCATTAGCATTTATTATCGCCTAATTATCAGCAAATATTAAGTGCTATTATTATTCGATTACTCTTATCAGTAATTATCAAAAATTATTAATGTATTTAATAATAATTAAGCAATAATAAATAAAATATGAATGATTGTAATTTGAAATATCTAACTGAAAGATATAATTTGGTTGAAGTACGGAAAAAAAAAAAGAAAAAAGGAACAAACAATTGTTGAAATAATAAAATGGGGGGAAGGGAAAGGCAATGCAAGTCCTATCAGTATGTGATATGTGAAAGGAGAAATGATTGTTAGCATATTGACAACCATAAACATCCATAAAAATGCTTTGAAATTTGAATTTGCTATTTCAATAGTCATTGCATTGTGTCAATTTCTATAATATGTAAGGCAGTGGAATTTTATTTTTTAGAAAAAATATTAGAATTTTACGAATAATTACTTATCTAACTTTCTTTCTATACTTTTATCATTATTAACATTTCAATAATGGACGATAATATATCATCTGGCTCTTGTCACCTTCACATATTAATAATGTATGCTAAAATGTCACTTAGCTAGATATATATTTCTTTTTTTTTTTTTGTTCATCTTCATATATCAATAATGAGCGGTAATATATCGCATGGCCAGTTCGATATATATATATATATGTTTTGTCACCTTCACATATCAATAATAAGCGGTAAAATCTCATCAAACTAGTTAGATTTATTTATTTATTTATTTCTTTACTCATTTATTTTTTGTCACCTTCACATATCAATAATAAGCGGTAAAATCTCATCAAACTAGTTAGATTTATTTATTTATTTATTTCTTTACTCATTTATTTTTTTGTCACCTTCACATATCAATAATCACGTAGTTAACTAAATATATATATTTTTGTCATAATCTATATCGGACATAATCCATATTGGTAATTAAAATTTTCCTTAAATAACTTTAGTATAAAACACAATTTTTACATTCGTAATTTTTCGAATTTTGAAATAGCAATCGTGTAATTTTCAATATTTCGTGCAATCCTTAATCTTTTATTTATTTTGTGAAAAAAGAATTTCAGTGTAATTTTACTTACTGTTTGATATTGTGAGCTAAAAGTAAAGTGTGTTTGAATGATGAAATGGAAAAATTTTTCCCTCAAAATGGAACAAATTATTGCAAATGCACGAAACAGGTTAACATTTCTATCAATATTAATTTCAGGCTCACATTTCATAGTTCATCGAATATGAGATATGTTTTTTTTAAACTTAATCCTTTCCATAACTATTAGACAGTGAAATTATCGCATTTCATCATTAGGCCATTAGAATTATTATGCTAATTAACTCCAAACATATAGTAACACTTTCTTTATATATTTTACTAGATTGATGTCATGTCATCTATCTTTTCCACTATGATGATTATAATGTTAAGGTGAGATTTGTGCAAAAAATATTACTTCATCATTGTAAATTTATAATATAACTAAATTATTAATTTTAAATTTTCAACTTATTATTAATTTTATTCATTCAGACGTTTCTTTCAGTTATGTAAATTTTTTGTTAGACTATTCCTGGTATGTTATTATTTTTACAATGTTAATTTCGTTATGCTTATCAGCTTATTCAGCATTATTTTATTACGACACTTTTACATTCGATCCATCAATTGTAAGTGTACCATTTTACTTTCCTTTCTTTAATAAACCAATTTAATTATTTGCAATGAGCATATTAATTAAGAAGTCAATCATTTGGTTCAAGTTTCTATTTTTATTTTTTGTGTATTAAAATAATAAACGTAAATTCAATGCTTTTGAATAGATTTTTATTTTTATAAAATTAAATAAAAAATGCCCTAATAAAATTATATTTCCAAATTTCATCGATAATAAACCAATTTGTATTTGAGGGATTTGAAACTCGCAATACTTTTTTATCCAATCAGCGATTAGCATTGGATAATTTAATGGATAGAGCAGCCGGTGAAGAGCATATCAAGTCAGTGAGTAAACGTGAAATAAGCACTGATGATATGCTAGAAAAGTTAGTTAATTAAGCTTAATTAATTAAATAATTTGAAATTTTAAAAATATCATACTACCCAGAATGTCTTTGCTGTTTTTTTTCTTTTTAGATTAATAAAATTTTTTGCGAATAAAAACAGGTTTTTTTTTAATTTAATATATTGCAAATTTCACTATTTCATTTTTTTTGTGAATTACAGAGATGATCGATTTGTTATCAACAAAAGTGTTAGGAAAGCAGAAATGGTACTTGATGCATGTCAACAATATTTCATTCTTGGTACCATGATTCCACATGAAATCGTATTAACATTGTCAAAATTAATTTTCAAAGTATCATCGTTCAATAATGTACGCATTAATTCCCTACAGTAATTCTGAATATACTTCCAGGAAAAAAAAAGGAAGAAAAAAAGGACGATTCCGTTTAGTCTAAGTAATGCGTCTTTTTAATCATTTAGATATTTGATTACTCAATATAAATCTATATATATTTCAATTTTATTCATTCATTTCCCGGAGTATTTAATGCATTATTGCATTAATTGCATTACAATAAAAAATGCTTAATCCGGATTATTGTATAAGCGGAAAAAAAAAGTTTCGCATCCGGAATATTCCGGTAATCTTTTGAATTTCTAATTACATTTTTTCTTTTACTATTTTCAGTTATTCAATATGCATACAATGCAACGATTATGTGCCATTGATTCGATTGTTGATAGAGAAATTAATTTGAATGGTTTGAATGCAACAAATCTTAAACTTTTACCTTTTTCCTTTAATCTTCCTTACTATACAATGTGCTTAAATATGGATGTGTCATCTGATTCGTGCTCTTCACTTGATTCCAATTAGTAAGTTTATTTTTCAACCGGAAACATCGATTTCCGGAAACATTTTATTAAAAATAGATATTAGAAATAGTAGATAGATTCGAGATGACGATAATACAGGTATCGATAGGTAAAGGGGGAAGCCTTTTATAATCTATCCTGTAAAGAATGTATCGGAATCTATCCTGTCGAGAATGTAGTGAAATCTGCTTTGTAGAGAATGTATCGGAATCTGTCCTATGCAGAATATATCGGAATCCCTGTAGAGAATATGTGAAAAATCTACTTAGTAAAGAATGTATCAGAATCTATCTTGTCGAGAATGTAGTGCCCTGTAGAGAATGATGTATCAGAATCTATCTTGTAAAAAATATATCGGAATCTGCCCTGTAGAGAATGTACTGAGATATCTATTCTTTAGAGAATATATCAGAATCTATCCTGATTTCAATCTTAATTAGTAAATAAGATAATAGCTTTATTCTTGAGGATGTTATCATTAACAAAAACAATGCATCTATTTTAAATGATAATTTCAGCACTGATTTATTCAAATCGCTTGTTTTAACATGTCAATCTAATCAATCTTCAATTCAATGTCAACTACCCATTGCTAAACAAATATCCAATATGATCTTTCAAAAAATTGATGAACCTATAAATATTAATCAGCCATTTTATTTTGCTGTAGTTTTACCGGTAATTGTTTACATTATTTCTGATAATTTTGATACGATCATAGAGTCGCAAACAAGCTATTCTCTCTTATTTATTTGCCTGTATTATTTTAAAATGTTTCAGTTTTACAAAAACTTATGAGACATTTAAAATTTCAAAAAGGAAAAAATGATGTAATAAGCTTACTTTCTTATGTTTCCACGTTTATACCTAGATAAATTGTTTAACAATATTAATTTAACTTTATTTTTGCATCATTTATAGATTTCACAATCGAACGATGGTTATTCACATCTTCATTTTTATTCAAGTTTACTTCAAAAGTTTCAAGATAACTATAAGGATGATGAGTTGAAGTTAGTTGGGGCGCAATTTGGTGTTAAGCAAGGATTATTTGCGGAAGAACTTCGAAGTGATCTAAGACTTGGCGCAGTTGCGATTATTACAGTAGTATTTATCATACTGATATATACTGATAGCTTTTTCTTCACATTTTGTATCACTGCTACCATACTATTATCAATCGGTGTTGCATTCTTCGTTTATACGGTTTGTTCATTTTTATCTTTTTTTTAACTATTTCATTATCAAATATTTCATCAATTATTGTAACAGAAAAAAGGAAAAGAAAAAATTTTTAATTATTGAAATGATTGATTAAATTTAAATTGTGCTATATATTATTAAAAGATAATTGATAATATTACTGATAAAATTTTTTAATGTTTATCAGTGCTTTAATCTTTTCTGTTAGCTTAAAGTTTACATATTTAGTTAAAAGTGCTCTTCCAGTTAATTTTAACCGTTTCAAATTGAATGAAATCATATAAATAACAAGTTGTTCATTCTCCCAGTTTCCTAATTACCGTATGTCACAGATGTATGTTTAATTTAGAAAGATCAATGATGACTTAATCTCAAAAAGTCATTGATCATATCGAATTTGCATTTGTACAGCAATTAAGCAATCAGAACAAAACCAATAATTTCCAAATATCCTTCAAAAAAAAAAAGATTGATGTTTGACCTCTCTAGGATATCATTATGCTATGCTTTCATCGATGACCTCTAGGAGATTGTACTGAATGACCGAATGTTTTGGAAATTAAATGTTAAAAAAAAAAAGAAAGAAAGAAATGTGAAATATCCATAAGATATTGATATTAACAGCAAGATTTATTTCTCTTCTAATTTATGATTTATTGAAATTCATGAATAGCATTGAGAATTTTCCGGATGAATTTCAGGTAATTCTTGGAATCAAATTTTTTCCGTTTTTGAATTTACTTGCGATGATACTTGTCGTTGCTGTTGGAGCCGATGATGCCTTCCTTTTCATGTATCAATATCGGAAACATAAAGAAGTATTCATTTGATAACTTCCCTTCCTTCTATTTCTCTCCTTTTTTTTCTTCTTTTTTTTTTCTTTTGCAAAGCAGTTAAAAGTGTAATTTATAGAAATTTATAAATTATATTCCAAAGAATTAGAAATTAGACAAGTTAAATGCTAACAGATTTATTTCCGGATTATATTTTACAACTTTCGGTAAGATTTTTCTGGTATAATCAAATCAGTAAATGAATGTCACACATGTAAATGAATGTCATAAATGCATTTTAGGATGCTAACAAAAAATGGTCACCAATGCTAACAAAGTGTGATATAAGTAATGTAAAAGAAGAAAATTTTGATAAAGAAGAGGTAATTAAATTGATGCATTTTGCTATGATTAATATATCATTTCTTTTCCTATTATCATTTATTCTGATGATAATACTGATGACAATAACAACAGTGATAGTGACAACGATGATAATAATAATAATAACGACGATGATGGTAATGATGATGATTTACCGAAGTATTATTTTTCACCATACGATATCTTTTACTTTTGGTATTTTATTACTTGAGGACAATATTTTATGGAATATTTGGTTGAAACAAAATTAAAACTGAACTTTCGCTTTTGTGAAAGGAAGGTATTTCAGTTAATGAAATGTCATCGTAAACAGGTGACATCAAGTTTAAGTGATGCAATATCACATGCTGCAATTTCAATGTTCGTTACATCAGCAACCACTGCTGTTGCATTCTTTGCTAATCTTGCATCAGAAATTATGGTCCTTAGGTTGGTCAAACATTTAAATCAGTTCTATCTTGCCTAATTAAGCCAATTAAAACAAAAAACGAATAGGGTAATTAAACTTTAACGTGTAAAATTTCACATCAATTTATATTATTATTGATAAATTTTTCAGGACAAAAATAAAAGAAATTAGCTTGTCAATTATTGATCGTATTTTGTACATTTTTTACAGATATTTTACTTTTCTTATTTTAGGTCTTTTGGTATATATGCCGGTACGTTAATGATAATTAATTACGTATTAGTGATGATAATACTACCTGCTGCAATTATTATCAGTGATGCAAATGTTAAATCATTTGCCACTTCGAAATTCTTTATTTCAAGAGTGAAATCTCGAATTAACCAACTTTGGTGTAATGCTGGTATCAGTTTTGATAAAGTATTTAGCAGATTGATTCCACAAATTGTATATATTATTCGAATACCACTAATATTACTAACTATTGTTGCATTCGGTGTTTCACTTTATGCAATTATTAAAAGTCCTGGAATTCGATTACCGGAAAAAAATTCAATCCAGGTTAGTTAGTGCATAATCTATTTATTGTTCCAAATATCCGAATTGGAAAATAATAAAATGATATATATATATATATTATTACATGATAGTAATTAGCAATTTTAGACGACTAAGTAATTAATAGTTAATCTTAACGAATAATTTAATTTTGGTTGAAAAAAAAGAAAGAATAAATTATTTTATTACAATTTAGTTTTTACGTTCTAATCATCCATATGAATGGTTTGATGAAAATGCTGCAACATTGTTTGATTTTTCGATCGGTCATCGTCCAAAAATGAATGTTATTGCTATTTGGGGTATCAAACCGACAATGTTAGTAATTTGAATTCGTTTTTAAAATGAAAGATGAACGAAGTAAATCATATGACTCGAGTAAATTTTGAATAATTCATATGTAAGAATAAATATCTTTCAATATATCAGTATCGTATACCTTCGAGATATTTTAATTCTTCAATGAAACTCCCAAAAGGCATTAATTTGGAGCTTTATTAGTGCGAATATTAATGATAATAAATTTTAAAAATTCAATAAATCATGAAGAAAAATGATTACATTCTGAATTGATTTGTTTATTTTAAAGATGAAAAAGTTGTTTTGGCTTAAACTTTTTTTTTCTAGAAGTGAAAGTTTGCTAAATCCAAATAAAAAAGGATCGCTAAATGTGGATATTGGTTTTGCTGATGTTTTAGCTAATCATTTACTGGAATTTCAGGTTAATTATTGATGGGAAAATTAATTATACGTTTATCTTAACAAATATAGTCTTAAAAATTTTGCAATCATTTTGATGATAAAAATTCCAAAATTTTCTTCCAAGAATTTATTTCTAAAAAATCTGCTAGAAATATGAGTTGAAATATTTGATAAAATAATACAATGAAACTTTTTGACGCAATATTGGGTTAACATTTTAGGCTTTGCTTAAACATGTTAGCCATCAAATTAATCCAAGTGTGAAACAAAAGTTATGGTTGGATGAATTCATTAAGTGGACAAATTTGAATACAACTACAAAAGATTGTCAACTATTTGGTGTAAAACAATCCAAATTATCAAATGTTAGTTAATTATTTAAAAAAAAATATTTTTGAGAAATTTGAACTTAGCTACTCTTTGTTAATCAAAAATTAATAATTTGTTACTATTGATTTTATTATCGAATTATCTTTGTAAATGATTTCACGATGGTAATTTTGCATTCTTAAAAGATTAGTTTAAGAATTAATTATCCGTTTTTTTTTTAAGCCTAAAAATAATAACGTTCTTTGTTGGCATTACAAAAATTCAGAATTTTTTTTAGCCAAAATCATTTACCGGCAATATGCTTTCACGTTGTTTCCTTCAATACGGACATGCAATATCATTTCCGATATTTAATCAATGGGAAAAAAAAGATAACGATGGACCAATATTTGATAAAAATGGCGTCTTCTTGGCTTATTTTTTAATCACTCATAGCAAATATAATTTCTCAACCGTTTTCAAAGAAATGAAACCATTTTTCGATTTTATAAGTAACATGAAAGTGGAACGAAGTGATATTTCAGGTAAGCATTCTTATTACATCATCCCACGTACTATTATTACTTTAAAGAATCAATATCTCACGTATTATCATTAGCTTAAAGAATTATCATCCTACGTACTTATATCTCGGATTATCACTCCACTTTCTGTTATTGACGTGAAGAATTATCATCTCACGTGTTTATATAGCGGATTATCACTCCACTTTCTGTTATTGACAT